AAGGCCAGCCTGGTCTACATAATGAGTTCCAGGCCAGCTGGGGCTACAGGGAGACCCTGCCTCAAAAAGACAAAAAAAAAAAAAAAAAACCAAGCTGCAATGTGAGAATCCACTGCCTTTCCCATGCTTCTTATACCTTCTTTCTAAACAATCTAAGTTGAAAACACTGTCTCTTTACTTTATTTCACATGTGGGAGGTAAAGGACAGAATGGGCCACAAAATGGACTCTAAAGAGATGGCTCAGTAGGTAAAAGGCACTTGCTTAATTAATAAGCCTGACAAACTGAGTTCCATTCCCTGAAACACCCATGGTGAATGATGAGAAATGTCTCTCACAAGTTGTCCTCTGACCTCCACATGTGTACCATAGTACATACACATATACAATAAATAAAATGTGCCCAGCAGTGATGGCACACGCCTTTAGCTCCAGCATTCGGGAGACAGAGGAAGGTGGATCTCTGTGGGATCAAGGCTAGCCTGGTCTACACAGTTAAGTTCCAGGCCAGGTGGGACTACAGGGAGATCCTGTCTCAAAACAACACAAATAAACAGGCAGGTGGATGGATGGATGGATGGATGGATGGATGGATGGATGGATGGATGGGTAAATGTAAGAAAATTGACAATATATAAATGATTTAAGATTTAGAGGTAAGGGGGCTGGAGAGATGGCTGAGTTAAGAGCACTGACTGTTCTTGCAGAGGTTCACTTCCCAGCACTCACATGGCACTAACAACTGTCTATAACTCCAGTTCCAGGGGATCCGACACCCTCTTCTGAGCTTTGCCGGCACTGCATGACATGGGTACACTTACACACATGCAGGCAATACACTCATACATATAAAAAATAAACAATAGGCATTTTTTAAAAAAGATTTAGAGGTAGGCTCTGAAACAATGTAAAGAAACCACAATGTATATTTTACTAACTTTGACAATGTGGGCTCCAGTTTATTAAGATATGAAATCCAAATTTAGGCATAAAAATTTTTTTGTACTAATTGTGAATTCTTCTGGGGTTTTTTGGGGGTTCTTTCTTTTTTCTTCGTCTTTTTGAGACAGGGTCTCCTTGGAGGACCAGCTGGCCTGTAACTCGCTTTGTAGACCAGGCTGGCCTCAAACTCAGAGATCCTCCGTCTGCCTCTGCCTTTGGAGTGCTGGGACTAAATGTATGCGCCACTATGCCCAGTGAATTCTTCTGTATTTTAAATGAAAACGTTTTATGTTAAATAGCTGAACTTGTATCTGTGAGGTGAAATAAAAGAAAGCAAAATGAAAAATAAAACTCACCTGTGCTTTAATATACTACTGTAAACTCCAGACTCTGACGGACCAGAATGTCACAGCAATATGTGCAACTCCTAATTCCAGAGCAATACTGCTGTCATTATACATTTAACTTATCTTCTGAAAACAATATTTTAAAGGCTATTTAAATCTCAATTTAGGAAGCTGTATTAGTCACTTTTCTGTTGCTGTGATAAAACAACATGACCAAGACAATTTATGGAAGGAAGAGTGCATTTGGCTTACAGTTCCAGGTGGGGTAAGAGGTCTATCATGACAGGGAGCCATTGCAGCAAAGGGGGCCAGCCACAGCACAAAGCTGAGAGCTCACACCTTCAAGCAGGCACAGGAAGCAGAGCAAAGACTGGAAATCTGGAAGGCTTAAGAACTCTCAAAGCCCACCAACAGTGACATGCTTCCCACAGCATGTCACACCTCTATGACCTTCCCAAACAGTCCTATAAACTGGGGCCCAAATGTTCAAATACTTGAAGCCTATGAGGAACACTCATTCAAACCACCACAGAAGTTCACTAGCACTGGTCACATATGAAAAACTCTTTTATGGTCTAACAGCACCATGATGAAATTGGCATGACTCAACAAACACTACAGTTATACAAGAAACTAATAAAACAGATCACTTTTTTTCTTTTTGATGACTTTTCTAAGACTAAACTTACCAACTAGTAAAAACACTCAACAAAACATTTTATCAAGCTAGGCATGATAGCACAAGCCTATAATCCCAATCTTTTGGTAATTTGAGGCAGGAGGATTAGGGTAAATTTCTGTCTTATCAAGGTTATATAGCAAGTTGAAAAACAGCCTGAACTACAAAGGAAGATGAAAGAAGTGTGAGCATGTACGGGTGCATGCACACGTGTGTGTGTGTGTGTGTGTGTGTGTTCATATATTCTTCACCAAAAATATCAATCATTAATGAGTAGAGGAAAAGATTGCCTCAGCTCAGATAAATTAAAATCCATTCTGGCTAGCCATGCGTGGTGGCACATGCCTTTAATCTCAGCACTGGGAGGGCAGAGACAGGTAGATCTCTGTGAGACGGAGGCCAGCCTGGTCTACATAGTGAGTTCCAGGACAGCTGGGGCTTCGGGGAGACCCTGTCTCAAAAGGACCCAAAAAAAAAAAAACCCACCCTGGCTAAAGTAGGTGTTTGTCTCGTTCTAAGGCAGTAGCTCCTAAAAATCCCAAGGACTGAAGAACAGTGTTTAAAATGCACTAGCCTGAAAGCACTTGTAAAGGGTGTAAATAATAGAGTTAGCAGAAGACAAAGAAAAGACACAGCCTGAGTTAGAGGACCTGGCTATCAAGTCTTATATTTAGCAACAGGTAAGTCTCAGTCTCCTCAGCTGTAAACTAAAAGCAGGCTCAGGAGAGGACGACCTGCAAGTATAACCAAGAGGGAGAAGCAGCGGGCTGACAAAAAAAGGGGTACAGAAGAGTGAAGCTGAGGCAAGATCTAGAATATGGTTCATCTAACAGAGAAAAGCAGTTGGTGCCAATCCAAAGGGGCCTATTTCTAGAATGGTACCTATTTAGTGCTACAGTCTGAAGGCTAATGCCCTCACCCCTATAATTCAGGTTGAAAATTCTACTCTCCAACATGATGGTACTGAAGCCCTTATGACTAGAATTAGTACCCACATATAACAGGCCCTGGGTAGCTTATCCGCCCTCTTGCCACTGAAGACACAATGAAAAAGCATCATCTAAGGATAAGCAAATGGGCCCAGTCACTCAATCTGCCAGGGTCTGGATCTGGGCCTGGGCTTCCCAGCCTTCTGAATTTCAAGAACTGCTAAGAACTTCCCAGCTTTTTGACTGGTGTCTGGGGAGACAGTTCTGTTTGGTAAAGTGCTTGCCACAGAATCATGAGGATATCTGGCTTGGATCCCCAGCAACTTCATAAAAAAGCCAAGAATGGTGATACATGTTTGTAATCCCAGAGCTGGGGAGTTAAAACCAGGAGGATCCCAGGGCTTCCTAGCCCATCAGCTTACCCTAATTGATGAGCATCAGGTCCTAATGAGAGTCTTTGTCTCAAACACAAGGCAGAATGGTCCTAAGATAACCAAGATTGGCCTCAGGTATTCACACACAATGTGAACCTGCACACACGTGTAACCCACAGACATAGGAATGCATACACACACACCCCAAAAGAGAAACAACTGCTATTTATAAGCTATCCACTCTAACATTTTGTTAAAGCAGTCCAAGAACTAAACAGATGGTGTAATGGAAAACAAATTACCTATGAAATTCCTCAAAGAAAATCTTCAGTGAGAGTCAGGTACAAAGGGAGTACTGACAGGGAAGAGAGAAACCCTTTGTCAGCCTCAAGCTCTAAGTCCTCACACACACACCTTGCTCTGTGGTTTGAACAAGTGGATAGCTCTATTGGTACAGGAAAATTCCAAACCAAACTATAAAATAATTTTAAATTTTGTATGAAATAAAAGTACATATTATTGGCAATGTTAAAATTTCTATTAACTAATTGTTTTATATGCTATTTTATATGACTCATTTTCAGCTTTATTTTCTAAACTACAATAAATGTTTTATTTTAATTAGAAAGATCTTACTAAAAATAAAGTGACAAAAAGGAACAGGAAGAAAAGCCTGCTCAACTAAAATAGCATAAAATTTATTCTTGTGTGAAAAAAATATTAAGAACAAGATTTTCTCCCTTGAAAGAAAATAAAAGCTGAAGTTATTTCTCAAGAAATTAAATAAAGCAAGCAGTAATGCTGAATACTTGTAGGGTTATACATGTACTCTTTTTGTCCATAATCACCCCAAAATGAAGTCAACTTGAAGCCAGGTCCATGTCTACTTTGCACATCAACTTGTATACAACACCATGTACTGAGCAGGCAGCCAGTCATCACAGCCAACAATGCAGTAGTTTGTCACTTAGATGTACCAATAACTGAATCTATTACAAATAACAGTATCTGCTCAGGTGACTTTTGGGAGGTAGGGAAGGATTTTGGAACAGCATCTTACTAGGTAGCCCTGGCAGGCCCTGAACTTGTTGTAACCCTCTTGCCTCTGCTCTCAAGGGCTGGGGTTAGTGGTGTGCACCACCACATCTGGCTATAGGATATTCATGCAATGAAAAAAATCTGAAAGGGGCTGGAGAGATGGCTCATGGACTGCTCTTGCAGAGGACCAGGGTTCAGTTCCCAGTACCCACATTGTGACTAACAACCATCCATAACTCCTGTTCCAGGGGATCTAACGCCCTCTTCTGACCTCTGCAAGCATTGCATGTATGTGGTGCATTTGAATACACGTAGGCAAAGCACTCATGCACTCATACACTCATACACATTAAAAATAAATAAATAGGGGGCAGGAGAGATGGCTCAGCAGTTAAGAGCACTGGCTGCTCTTAAGGAGGACCTGAGTCTGGCACCCAGCACCCACATGGGTGGTAACAATCATCCATAACTCCAGTTCCAGGGGACCCAACGTCCTCTTCTGATCTCCACAGGCACTGCACGACATGGGTGCACTTATATACAAGCAGGGAGTACACTCCTACACTGGGGGAGAAGATGCACAGCTGTTACTTTCAAAACCTGGAACTGTAGAGAAGACCTCTTCAAAGAAAGGTAGCATGAAAATAGTGTTCTCTGTGCAGCAGTGAGTTCAAATTCACAGTCATGATTCTTACAAGGGAAGGAAGAAGCAGTGACACCCAGGACAGGGCCCTTTACCTGACAGTTTCCAGTTTCAAGTCACTTTGTTGCTGTTTTTTACCTACACTAAACATTTTTAAAACTTCTCTGTGAAAACAAGGCAGGGAGCAAATTGCCCTGGGTAAACGCTGAGAATGGATTAATTCACGACTCTACAGACTTTTAAAGCTCCCAGTTGAGTCTGAGTATCAGTGACTTGACAGTGAAATTACATGCCTGTTTTTAAAACCCATCTGTGGAGTTAGCAGAAAAATCTGAGGAGAACTTTTTAGTAGATAGCTGGGAAGACTTGAAACAGGTGGTTTGGGCTGTTTTTTTAAGTTCAGCTTTTACATTTGAAGTTATCGTCATTGCTGATGCAATAAAATAAGGCTATATTTAGTCATTTGAGGAACTTTTACTTGCTTAATACACCTAATGTATTAGCTTGGAATATTTCAATGTAAGAATTCTAAAGAGTCTAAGCAGAATTTAACTTTTTTAGAAGTATAGGCATTTTCTTAAAATGAGAAAAATACATTTATTAAAAATTTGCATCTGTAAATACAGTCTACACTTGGTGAAATGGTACACAGGTATTTTGCTGATGAAAAGGAAATTATCTCACTAGATTCATTTTGAGACTCAAAGAAAGAAATAGAAATGAAACAGGACAGTAGGAGCAGTTTTGTTTCCAAATATCCTTTCATAATTAAATTTTCGTCCGTATTTCACTCATATCAAAACAAAACAAAACAAAATCAAAATAATTAAAAAATAAATTTGTTTTCTAAAAAACCTGGAAAAGCACCAGGTTTTTTAAACTGGAGAGAATAATGTCTTATCTGTGACAAAGAAGAAGTGACATCAGGCAGGCAAAGCATGTAGGCTACTATGGCAGGGTGCCCTGTCCAACTTAACTTCAATCTGCTCAGGCAAGATCCCTACTTACCTCTTTCTGAAGGTTAGACAGCTGAGATGAAAGGCTCTCGATCCGCATACGGCTCTCCATCAATTCTTCCCTGGCACTGTTGACCGTAGAAGTGTTCATCTCTGAGGACAGTCTGGCATTCTCGAGCTGGAAGAAGTGGGAAGTCACCATCAGTCCTACCTAGTCTATCAGAACTAGCAAATGAGGAAGCATGACGCACCTCAAGGCATTGCAAATCTAAGTTCTGCTGGTAACTGGCTGATGAAACACAGGAAAAGCATCTTCAATTTGCTGAAATTTTCATTACCTTAAGCCTGTCTTTTAGGCTCACTTCTAAAAATGTGTTAGCAATTTTAATAAATTAAAATTACCAGTCAATTACCCAGTTTATTTCGTCAGCATTTTATACACTAAAACTTTACTGCCTACATAACATTGCTAATAAGGAAACAACAGTAGAAACTTGACTATAGTGATATTTGTAGGAAAATAAATATTCCAAACCCACCAAATCTGCAGAATACATTTCATATTAGATAGAAACACTTCCTTTCAGAAGCAAAAGCAGGCCCTCAGATAAAAATTTTTTTTTTTTTTTTTTTTTTTTGGTCTTTGAGACAGGGTCTCCCTGTAGCCCCAGCTGTCTTGGACCAAGTAGGCCTCAAACTCAGAGATCCACCTGCCTCTGCCTGGGATTAAAGTGCCTAGGAGTGCTGGAATAAAGGTGTGAGCCACGACTCTCAGCTTTCCCTGATTTTCAGACCACAGTCTGTGATGGATCTTCCTTCAGCGCCTTCACTGCCTAGCTGAATGCCCAACGCGCACCACGTGCTAGACAACTGAAGGAGTTCTTTATAAGCTCGCTCACATTCAGAGCCATTTACTGCTTCATCTAAATGGCTAAAACACAACATGAACTGTTTGAGACCAAGCAATGGAAATTAAATAACTCCATGGTCCTAATTTTCTAAGTTTGCCTCTAACTATTTTTATTCAATCACACATTTAACACACAGGGTAAAATCATGAGCAAAACCTAAGCTTTTTCTATGAGCTATGTGTGCAAATGTGACATCGCCATACTTCCTAATGGTAGTTTGGCCCCTGAACAAAACACCCAAGGGGAGTGGCACATCTACACAATGCTCATGTGGAAGCCAGGAAAGGCATGTGTGGTGTAGCATCAGCAGTACGTGTTACTGAAGAAAAGCATTTAAGATGGCCAATGGAACAGATAAACCTTTGTTTCTAATAAAATTGAAATAACCTCATTGTCGAAATATTTCTACTAGCATTTAGTTTACATGAAACTACATTCAAATACTACCAATTTTATTTATTCATGGAGAACAAGGGAATCATTCTTAAAAGCTAGAACCAAAGCCACAGACGAGAGAGCACTCACTTTGGCATGGTAGGTCTGCTCCAGCTCTTCCTTGTACAGCCTCACTTGGGCGTCGTGCTGTTCTCTCATCTCATGAAGCGCTTGAGCCAGCTTGTACTCATACTCAATCTGACGCCCAGAATCCACCTCTACCAAGCGAGTCTCATGCTTTCTTCTTGTCTCATTGATCTCCTGCAAAGAGAAATACAGCGTAAAGCCAAGTTGCTTTGAACAGCGGCACTCATACAGGTCTGAGAGACCCAGGGCCATCTTCAAGGCCACCTGCAGCTTCGTACACCAGCATCCTTGTTTTCCTGTCCTGCAGCAGGCATGCAAACACACTACTGCCTCTTAGTTTCCAGGCAGAGTATTTCTGGACGTAATTAATGATATAAACGATCGTAGCTCAAGTCCTGGAAATTGTCCATCTCTTTTCAGGAACATAGCTATTTCATTTCTCTGAAGGCAAGGAATGGCCTGGATGACTTATTAAAGCACCATGCAACTGTGGGTAACTAGACAATATACATTAAATACTAAACACATTAGGTTTTCTAAATTGCTTTATTGACAATCCTATGGTCACCTCTGAAAAGAGATGGACAATGAAAGCTACATTTCCCACTCAGAACAAGTGTATATATGTTCAAGATAGAAACATAATAAAATTATTTTCTTAGACCAATATTAATGGCTTCTTTTACAATCTGATGTTTAGGTTATCAGTAACAATTTACAGTATCTTATTAATTTTTATTTTAAGAAACTGTCCAAATAACCTGCAATGGGAAATTTATAGCTAAGAACGTTAAGTCCACTAATAAATTTTTCCATTTTAGCATTTCACTATGCAAATATTTGTCTTTAATGGGAATGATTAAAGCCACAAGGGGGCACTATAACTCATTAATGTTGTCTATCTCTGGGGAACTCTGGAATTAAACCCAAGATCTCACATATGCCCCAGCCCTAAATGCATTTTTTGGTACATGTATTTTTCTGTATACCTTCCATGTTCTCTTAACCATTTAAGAGAAAAATGTACAAAATGAGAAAAATCAGAAAACCAGGGTTCAAAACCCAGTTCTGTTACCAACTTCCCAGAACTCAATCTGTTTAATGAAGCATATGATATTTAAATCGTGAAAACAGAGATGTGAGCTGTCCCCACTGGCTCCAAGTATTTGAACACCTGACCCCAGATGGTGCTAATTTGCACAAGTTTAGGGCGTGCAGCCTTACTGGAGAAAGCACGTGTGGGGAGAGGGGAAGACAGGCTTTGAGCATTTACAGCCTTGCCCCACTTCCAGTCTCAGTCGCTCTGCTTCCTCCAAGGGCTTGAAACGGTGAGCTCCCAGCTTTCTACTCGGCTGCCTCCCTCCTGCCATGCCTTCCCCCACCATTACTGACTCTTATCCCTCTGAAACTCCTTAAATAAAACTCCTCCTTCTACAAGTTGTCTTGATCATGGTGTTTATCACAGCAGCAGAAAGTAACTAAAATACAAGATGGAACAGGCCTAGTTCAGGAAAAACTAAGCCCCTACCAATGGATGTCCTTTGTCAACCTCCCTTGTTCTGTTTCCTTCCTTCCTCTTCTTTTCCCCCTAATGGCTCACAAGTAAGAATGTTTATTAATAGTGTCCTCAATGTTGGAAAAAGAGAAAATTAAGTAGTACTTCAAAATCATTCTCCAAAAGACAGCAGTCACATATTCAAAGACATGGCCACTTTAAATTAAATATTAAATTGTGTTACCATTGTTATTTTTCAATAATTTTATGTAGAAAAACATTTCTGGTTTCCACACCAATAACATTAAAATAACACGAATAATAATAATAAAGCAGGGACAATTATAACAAAGCAAAACAAAAACATTGAAAAATATGTTTTTATAAAGCAATACTTAAACAATTACACAATAATGCTTGCTATGGGTTACATGGAGCTTTCAATTACAGTATTTCATTTTAATTCTCATCACTCTTAGAGGAAAAATAGTATCAGTATAGTATCAGTATTTCTCCTGTTTGTTCTTTGAACGAATGCATGTGTGCATATGTGTGTTCACATGTGTAGGTACACATGTGTGGGTGCACACGGAGACCCAAAGTTAGCGTTGTTCATCCTCGTCAATCTCCACTCGCTGAAGCAGAGTCTCTCGCTGAGCCCCACGTTGTATTCAGCTAGTCTAGCTAGGTGGCTGCCCGAGGACCTCCATCTGCCCTCGTTTACATGGGTGCTGGGGGTCTGACGTCCAACCCTTGCAATTACTTGGCAAGTGCTTGATCTGCTGAGCAGTCTCCCTATTAGCATTTCACTTTAAATAACAAACTGGCTGAAACTGTCCCCAGACTCTGACTGCTTGTCCGGTTCATTTGACCAACCATACCTATTTTAATTACTGTTCTTTTTAAAATGAACAAATTCTTATTATTTTTCCTCCACCTTAAAACAAACTAAAAACATGTTTTTAATTGGTCTAGTAAATTTAAAAACATTGTTTCCAAAATTACACTACTTTGAAAAACACTTGAATACTTAATCGTTCATCTTCCACCCTTGGCTAATTCCAACCCTCTTCAGTTTTGAGGAACTGTCCCTCTCGTTTTCTTCCATGTTTTTACCACCTATTTCCCTCAATCACAGAAGTGAGGACCACAAGTGCTACTTAAACCTTACATCAGCTTAACCAGCTATAAATGCTGGGAGTAGCCAGACCTGATGGGGCTAATGACTGCACCCCTGGCACTCACACCTGTGTGTCCCTTTCCTCACAAGGTACCAGTCTACAGCAGGCAAGAGGAGAAGGATGTATGTCACTAGCAATTATGTTATTGAGGAAAACATGGCTTCTGCCTTGTCCTGCTCAGTCTTATGGCTCCCTTAGAAGAAAGCACATCATACCCTAAGTAGACATGTAGAGAAGACGGGTGATAAGAACTGAAGAGCCGTATGTCAACAGCCTCACAGTGATCTGAGGAGTTTCTTCTAGCCCAAGCTAAAGCCTGACTATAGGCTCAGGAGCCCATCTTCCAGATCCCTGACCTTTAGGCAGTGAGATGATAAAGGTATGGTTTTAAATTGCTAAATTTGGAGAGCACTGTTAGGCAGCAATAGATAATATCCTGGACAGTAATTAGCTACTCTGACAAAACCCTGTAACTCAAGTAAGTGAAGTCATTGTATGTTTCCTCTAGTGGCCTAAAGGTTTTAGGTTGAAGTACCTTGCAGCTTACCTGCAAAATAGCCCTTTATTCCCAAATCCTATCTTCTCTTTACCTTTTGTTTTTACCTTTATTTGGTGGTGGTGATGGTGGTGGTATGTGTGTGTATTTGTGTACGTGCAGGAAATTAAGTAGCGTGCCCACACAGAGGTCAGAGGACCATCTGAGAGAGTAGGTTCTTTCCTTCTATAACATGGGTTCTATTCTGGAGCTCAGACTTAAGTGGTACCCTCTAAGCCATCTCAAGAGCACAGATTGTTTTTTGAGACAGGTTCTCATATAGCCCAGGCTAAACTCAAACCCACTATACAGCTGAGGGTGACCTTGAACTGATTCTCCTGTGCTGGGATCACAGGTATGAGTCACCATGCCCAGTCTATACTTTTTCATTAAAAATAAAAGTTTTATATAATTACCTCTTCATACATGTTTTTACGAAACTCCAAGTCCTCGGTGAGGCTCTGACAACGATTCTCCAAATCCACTTTAAGCAAAGTTTCATCTGCTAACTGTTTTTTGGCAGCAGATAAGGAGGCTTCCAACTATTAAAAGAAAAATTCAAAATTACATAGCAATCATTTAGAAATAATTGTGAATCAAATCAAGTATTATAATTCCTATACATTTATCAATATATGATTATCTCATCTTAACCTTCACCTCAGAACTTCATGGTCATTTGCTGGTTCACCCACCCATATCAGTTCACAAATTAAGCTGTAACCCCAACTGGGAATAAAACAGGTCTCTATCCCTCACATTTCAACAATCAAACCAGAGGCCTGCTCAGTCATGACTGTGGGAACATAGTGCCAGATAGAAGAGGCCTCCCTTAGAGTGACAAGCACTCATGCTGTACAGCACTCATCAAAATTTTCTTTTTGCATCATATGGAGACTACTTGCAGAGTTGCACATCTGGTCAGACGCAGAGAACATACGTCTGGGAGATGCCCAGTACTAGGTGACACATCTGCAGTCAAATCTCTACAAGGCCCATGGAACACAGCAGAAGAAGGGGTAAAGAGGGGCTTAATGCACCCCTCAACTCTCACTAGTGAGGCTCCCTTGTACATCAGAGTGCGATGCAGAGAAGGCCACATCTGGCCAAGTTTTGGAGAATAAGAGACTACAGAATGTAGGATGGGATTCCTATACGGAACCTTACCCACCTATGGCTCAGGGACCATTGTGGAAGAGGAGACAGAAAGATTGTAAGAGCCAGGACTGGTTCATGATTACAGGGAGGTGGAGGCTTCCATCCAGGCCACTGAAGACTTGTTCATGTGAGCCTGTGGCAGTGGTGGCATCAAGCAAGGGACCCATGTTAGTTCAATTAAACAAGGGCCCAAAGGGGAGGAGAAAAATAGGTGGTGGGCCAGCACTAGATTAAGAACTGTTTGAGACTGAATGCTGCCAGATGAGGGAGAGTATGACTTACATACGACCACTGGATGGGCCGACTAGACTCCAGTGAACGCATTTACACTGAAGGATACTTGGGTATAAAACCTGAATGACTAGTACTCAGCATGTATGGCAGAGTGCATAGGGTTCAGTGGGGGGATAGGGAGAGGCATGGATGGATGGATGGATGGATGGATGGGGAGGGAGGTCTGGATTTCGGCAGAAATATATGAAATTTAAAAAGCTCAATAAAAAAATTAAAAAAAAAAAAATCAAACCAATGGTTTTTACCTAACCACTTTTATTTTTCCTGTGTGCAAAGGACAGCATTATATCTCTTTTCCCACTTCACACTTTGGTGTAATAATACAACCTTTGAAAACAGGAGACAGAATGAGTAGGCCCACAAGACCAGAAGAGCAACAAGAGCTATGTATCCAGACAGAAGGAATAACTAAGAAGTGATCCTGCTTTGCATGATTCCTTAAGAAAGCCACCAAAACACTCAAATAAGGGGCTGGAGAGATGGCTCAGGAGTTAAGAACACTGGCTGCTCTTTCAGAGGTCCCAGGTTCAGTTCCCAGCACCTACATGTCAGCTAACAATCATCTCTGACTCCAGTTCCAGGGGATCTGATGCCTTCTTCTGGCCTCTTCAGGCACTACCTGTATGTGGTGCACTTATATACATGTAGGCAAAACAGTCATATGTTTATATAAATAAAAAAATGATAAATATCCTCAAATTTTCAAAAAAGAAATAAAATCAATCAAGCCAACAAACCATGGCTTAAGACCTGCCAATTAACCTGTCATGTATGGATCAGAGCACATCTCACCTGGGCGATCTGGTCTTTCAGGTCTTCCAGATCCCCCTCTAAACTCTTTTTGTCACCAAGAGCAGTGGCCAGAGCTGCATCTTTTGAGTTCAGTGCGGCTTCATATTCTCGAAGCTTGATCTGGGCTCCGTTAAGATCAGATTCCTTCTTAGCATAGCTGTAATATGTGGAAAAACATAGACAATGTTACAACCCTGCCTTAGGCCTTCTCCTTGACTGAAGAAGTAAAGCTGGCAGCTTATAAAGACTGCCTGAACCCACTGAAATTACAGAAGCCAACCCAGGAGCATTAGATCAAGAGCGCTCTGGTAACTAATGACTTGGAACAAAGAAGCCCATAAGACGAGTCTCTGAATGAGAAAACATTGTTTATAAAGAGGCAAATTAAGGGGGCTGGAGAGATGGCTCAGCAGTTAAGAGCACTGACTGTTCTTGCAGAAGACCCATGTTCAATTCCCAGCACCCATATGGCGGCTAACCACCATCTATAACTCCAGTTCCAGGGGATCCAACGGCCTCTTCTGTCCTCCACTGACAATGCATGACATGGGTGTGCCTACCTATATGCAGGTAATATACACATAAGATACAAATAATAAATAAGATATTTAAAAGGGGGGCACATTAAGACAAAAAATGTTTATATTAATACAGTACCTACTATAAACCAAAACATACAGAAAAGACATAAAACAAAATCAAATTGAGTAATGAAATATTTTAAGAATTTTGTAACAGTGGTATACAGAATTCCCTTGATATTAATAAGAACTGATGCTAAGGGGCTTTATAAGCACCCTCTGTTCCAAACCCACATAAGAGCTTTCTAAATATTTTGAGGAAAAATTAACTACCAGAAAATGAGGTATGTTTTTCTTTTAATACTACTTGTCCATTGACTGAGGTTTATTAGCTGGGTGTGGTAGCACATGCCTTTAATCCCAGCACTTTGGAGGCAGAGGCAGGCAGATCTCTGTGAGTTTGAGGCCAACCTGGTCTAATAGCAAGTTCCAGGACAGCTGGAGCAACCAAAAGACCCCCCCCCCCGAAAAAAAAAAAAAAAAAACTTAACTGGAGTCTACTTATTAAATGGAGCTCAACATTAGAAAATTAAAATTCTTTAAACTTTTTTTTTGAGACAGGGTCTCACTATGTAGCCCTAGCTAGCCTGAAACTTCCTATAAACACCAGGGTAGTCTCAAACACAGAGATCTGCCTGCCTTAGCCTCCCAAGTGTGGGAATTAAAAGTGGGCACCTGGTGAATAATTATGTGAATTATATTTTAAAGGATGGTATTTTGGGGGGTGGGGGGGTCTTTCTGAGACAGGGTCTTCCTGTAGCCCCAGCTGTCCTGGAACTCACTATGTAGACCAGGCTGGCCTTGAACTCACAGAGATCCGCCTGCCACTGCCCCACAAGTGCTAGGATTAAAGGCGTGTGCCACCACGCCCGGCAGGATGGTATTTTTATCAGTTAAATAATTCTTTATTATTAGTTATTCAAGAAAAGCCTTAATTAAGTATACCAAAATTCTGAATACTTCTTAATTAAAACTGCTACTGTAGCCTGGGTGTGGTGGTGCATGCCTTCAGTCCTACCTAGCATTCTGGAAGGCAGGCGCAGGCAGACCTCTGTAAGTTCCAGGTCAGCCTGGTCTACATAGCAAGTCCCAAGCCAGTCAGGACTATATAGTGAGTTTGTCTTTAAAAAACAAGGGGGGGGGGGGGGGGTGGGGGGATTTCTAATATTAAAAAAAAAAAAATGGCTCACTGACCAGAAAATATAAGAAAAGACTTCTTACCCATTGTAGTATCACATATATAAAATTTCAAGGTTTTTTTTTCCCTCCCCCTAAATCCTGTATTTTTCAGAACCACAAGATGGCAGACTTGCTTTAACTGAAAACTGGTCTAGAGACAAGAGAATCCCACATTCACAATTTATAGTATCAGTCTGGATTAGTCAAGCCCTGTATCTCTACAGGAATACAACACAAAAGCTTGTCAAGAAGCCACCAGTGTATCCCATCATGAAATGACTAGAAGTGAAGTCAGATCCCTATCAAGCACACCCACGACTGAAGTCTTTGACTGAAGTCTTTTTATCTTTTGAGGCCGTATCTCACATAACAGGTACTGGCCTGGAACTAGGTAGTCAAGGATGACCTTGAAATCTGATTCTCCTACCTCTACCTCCTAGTGCTGGGATTATAGATATGCACCATCACATCCAGTTTTATGCAGTGCTGTTCCGAACCTAAGACTTCATGCATGCTAGGCAAGCACCCTACCAACTAATATTCCCACCCCTAAAGTCACACTCTACAAAATATTATGCAATATCTACAAAAGCTACTGAATCAAAATTACAAAAACTAGTATACCACTACCTCGTGTATAAATCAGAGATCAGAATATGATGCTTCGTGTCCCTGGCTTCATGTACCTACCTGTATGCAGTAGTCTATAAAATGAGCAAGTTCTATGAAGCATGATTATGTATTTAATATTTAATGACATTGATGTAATGAGGTAATACACATGTAGAGCTCAAAACTCAGTGTTCTATCAAAAGAAAGATTCAGTGCAACACCTTGTGGAATGCAGAAAATGTGAAATGCTAAAGACTAATCTAAGACAGCACATATACATGACTAGAATATAGTGATTTCTTCCACAAAAAACAAAACCAAGTAAGACACAGAATGGAGGGCTCTGAGCCACTCAGTGCTACAGTTAAAATTTTATGGGAGCTTTAAGGTAAATCGTGATAAATGCTGAGACTGTCTATTACAGTCAAATTCTTAGTCACTTAAAACATGTTCTATGAAAGTATAAGCCACCTCCTTAGAAACATGGGCTTAAAGATCTGACTTCCACCTTACCAAGCAAAGTAAGCAGGCATAAATCAGAAGCTAGAAACATGCTCACAGTTTAAAAAAAAAAAAACTGAGGCCGGGAGTAGCTGGCCTATGCCTTTAATCCCACCACTCCAGAGGCAGGCGGATCTCTGTGAGTTCAAGGCCAGCCTGGTGAGTTCCAGATTAGCTGGGACTACAGAGAGATCCTGTCTCAAAAAGACCAAAAAAATTTTTTTTCCCCACTTCTGAGTATGGTTGGGTAAATTGTTATATTTATATATGCAACAAAAGTAACCTTGTATGTCCCATAGTCAAGTAAAAAGAGTTTAAAACACTTGGCCTTTTTTCCTCCTGAAGTATATAAAAAGATCTATAATAACACTTCCCAGAGAAATGCTATTGGCAGATTTTTGGAGTATGTACAGGATTAGAAAGGTTTTTATCAGTTTTGGGGGTTCTGGGGTGTGTGTGTATGTGTGTTTTGTTTTTGTTTTTAATACAACAGTCCATCAAAAGATCTGTTTAGAAGGTGAGTGAAGTGGTAAGCCTCTAGGTAGTTATAGAACCAAACTTATCCAAGACCCAATAGATGGAAATTGACCCTACAAGTCGCCATGGTCGGGCTCATACATCAAAGACAGTGATGAGCACTATATTACACCCCACAAAGGGCTCCTGCAATTACTTCCCTTGGTACAAGGTCTGGTAGTTTGAATGAGGAATGTCCCCAACAGGCTCCAAGGATTTGAACATTTTGTTCCCAGTTGGTGAGACTATTTGGGGGAAGTTCAGGAGGTATGGCCTTGCTGGAGGAAGCATATCATCAGAGGTGGGCTTTATTTAGCCTTGCCATTTCCAGTTCTGGCTCTCTTGGCTTCCTGTATCTGCCATGCCTCCCCTCGCATGATGGACTCTTATTCCAGTAGATTCTTCCTTCAGTAAGCTGCCTTAGTCATGGGCTTTTTTTTCATTCACAGAAACAGAAAAGCAATATATACAAGGTAATAATTCCTTCTCACAGAAGGCTATGAATGAAATGTGTGTTTGTTTTTAATTGTACATGAATACTAATATGCACTTACATGCAAGGTACACTATAGGTTAGAGACAGAAAGGAGGGCTCAGTCAAGGTCCTAAATCTTGGTATCTATTCATTTAACTAAGCAAACATTACTGAATATTTACTATGTGTTTATATAAAAAAAAGAAAGATGGGCTAGAGAGATAGCTAGCGGTTAAGAGCACTGACTGTTCTTGCAGAAAACCTGGGTTTGAATCCCAGCACTCACAAGGCAGCTAACAACTACCGTCTGTAATTCCAGTTCCAGGGGAATCCAACACCTTCTTCTGACCTCTGCTGGAAATGCATGACACAGATTCATTTAAGTACATGTAGGCAATACATTCATATAGGTAAAATAAAAACAATGAAAAAAAAGCTTTTATATTAATGTATTTCCATATCAAGCGAGAGCTCTGAGGGCAAGGCCTCTTGTTATTCCTGAATTTTCTATACAGAAAACCTATAGATGATGATCTTGCTAAATGGTCAATGAATCTGAGACTGTGGCGTATTGGTAACAGACTACATACTTGGCATGCACAAAGCTGTGGGTTCAACTCCCAGTTCCAGAAAACACCCTCCCCAAAGTCTCATCCAGATCTCTTAACCTACATGAAATATGTCTTTTCCAAGAAGAAAAAAATAATAATAATAACTGAGATACTCTTATCATCTCTGTAATTCACTCTCCTAAAGGCCCTCCCTAACACCCTGCCAATGTTGATGAATCATGAAAACATTCTTAGGATTACACCCATCCCCAGACAAGAGCCATGAATCAGTGAGTTCTATGTCAGATGATAAGCCAATACCAAGGGCACATGGAGGCCATGCAGAAAGGCTGAACGTAATTCTGTCACAGATTTCTGTGTTCTTATTTTTCATTCATTAGACATGGCATAGAAAGTTCAAGTGCTATCAGCACATAGTCAAAATGTAAAAACTTCAGAACTGACATTCTAAAACACATACTTATTTGCTATCACTTAGCAGTGTCATATCTGACACTGTCACAAAAAACAGCAATTCAGACAGGAATCCAATTACTAGGCACTATTACTTAAGGTGTTAGAACACATTTTTCATTGAATATTTCTTTTTTGTATTTTTTCTACTTCTTAAAATATTTTACTTATTATTTTTATTTTATGTGTATGAGTATATTGCCTGAGTGCATGTAAGTATATCCATGTTGTATAATGCCCAAGGAGGAACTGGAATTACAGACAGTTG